CGGGAGGGCGGGGAGTGGCATTGGGTAGGCAGCGGGGGGGAATATCGCGCGGGAAGAGAGGTGGAGATGGCGCTTAGGAGGAAGGGGGAATGAAGACGAGGAAGAAGAAGACGGAGAAGAAGGAGGGATGACGACGACGAGGAGGAGAAGGAAGAAGAACGGGGGGGAAGGAGGGTTGAAGAGGAGAGAAAGAACAAGAATCGAGGGAGGAAAGGAGGAGGAGGAAGGAGGAAAGGAAGCGATGACGATAACGACGATGGGAAGAAGAAGAAGAAATGAGGGGGGAGGAGAAAAAAAAGAAAGTTTATTGGTCACTTACCTGCGCGCCGGCTTCGGGATCGGTGGCGTTGCAGCAACGACGAGGGAGGCAGAGAGGTGTTGACGTGGCAATGGCGATGACGGCAGGTACGAGGTGCTGATGTGGCAGCGATGACGACGACGAAGATGACGACGATGGCGATGATGTGGCAATGACGGCGACGAGGGCCACGGTGACGATGATGACGTGGCAACGATGGCGAAGATGATGGAACAGGGCGGGAGGGAGGGCCGAAGCCGCTCCGATACCAGTGTGACAAGGCAGAGGCAGAGGCAGAGTAGCGAGGTTGAGGGAGAGAGAGGAGAGGGTGAGAGCACACACACACACTCAACTTGACGCAGACTCGACAAGACTCGACGAACGCATACACAAAGTCGCAAAGTCGCAGTCTTTTATTCCCGAACACAATGTCGAAGCAAGTCAAACTCAAGCACGAGCATTGAGGCCGAAAACTAAATGCCCGTACTGGGCTTGAGTCCGGTCTTAAGTATCGGACGCAAGTTTAGTCCGGAGGACAGAAGTGTCATTGTCTCAGGACTGAACTGAGAATCGAAAGTCTGAGTCTAGGCGCCAGAATGTCGGATGGCCCCAAGTGTCGAAATCTGAAAGTGCCAAAGGGATTTGAAAACAGGCGCCAACTGCAGAGGGCGCCAACAGTCAGAAACCGAAGAGCAGGAAAAAAAAAAAAAAAGCAGGCTGGCGGGTGGTACCCCGCGGACCAGGGATCGAGCCCTGGCTGATTCCATAACAGAAACAGCGTGGAAAGGAAAGAAGAAGGAAAGGAAACAGGATGGAAAGGAAAGCCAAAGGACACGAAATGAACAACGAGAAAGGGGAGGAAAACAGAAGCAAAAGGGAAGGGAGAGAAAAGGGCACTCGCAAGTGGTTAACAGGGGTCCCCACTTTTCAACTCTTGGGTAACGGGTCAAAAACTGAAATTAGGGTTTGGGGATCATCGGTCAGGGAACTTGGAAGAAAGGCAAGGTATGGAGAAGGAAAAGAGGAGGGAGGGTTAGGCAGGAGAACAGGAAAGGGATTGGATAGGAAAAGGAGAGGAAAGGAGAAAGGAAGGGGGGAAAAGACAGATAGTAAGGGATGGGAAGGGAAAGGGGAATGGAAAGGGAAAAGGGAAAAGGGGGTGGTTAGGGGAAGGGGAAGAGGTGGAAGGGAAGAGTGGTTAGGGAAAGGGGAAGAGAGGAATGGGAAAAGGGAAAAAGGGAAAGGGGGTAAAAGGGCAAAAGGGGAAAAGCAAAATGGGGAAAAGGAAAAAGGGGGTGAGGGTGACGGAGGTGGTCTTTAGGATAGCTATTGGGGTTTTCCAATGATGAAAGCCATATAAGACTCTTCATTTCATATTCGAATTTAAGAAAATGAGGCGAGGGACAGCAACTTCACAAAGGATATGGTGGGAGTCGTAAGAGAATTCACACTAGGAAAGTAATTAAATTGTCAATGGTCAGAGAAGTGCAATCAGACTCACTCTCTTCTTCACTTCGCATACACGCAAACAGATGGCAACTCACACTGGCGCCGAGCTCCCACTCAAAGCTCAGAGATATGGAAATCGAGAACACAGGTCAGATGCAAACACACTGCAACTGGCTATGGCGCATCAGCGCCGGTACATCCCAACTCTCGTCACTGTGTCCAACGCCACTGTGCGCACACACTCAACTCTGGATCACCCTGAATACCCCACACGCGTTCACTGTATCACACACACGTGCACACACACTAACACCTAATGATAGCTATGGCGGCTATGGCCGCCGGCTCCTACTAACCATGGTGCACTAACTCCTTCAAGCCCATTTTGACCTCAGGCATCTGCAGACCACCTCGCACAACACTCGGGCAGCGCTTCCGCATGGCTCATGCAGGAATGAATGAATGGCTGGACGCTGCCTCTTGATTTATACTTCTATAAGTCGCTGGTCTGCCATTTTCCACCGGGCCCATGGTGCACACAGTCCCTCATGGTACTTGCTGACTGGACAAAGTGAGACTGGGACTGGGTACCGCTGACTAAGCGAAGTTGGACTCACCACTCGCCCACTTGCCTCTGGTCTGCTGTGTATAACGTGAAAAGAAACTTGAAAGGCCATTCCGGACCTTCCAGAAGTGTGCGGACTTGGCTTTTCAGGACTGTAGCAGCTACGACCTTGACCTTTCAGGATTGTAGGAGCTACGACCTTGACCTTTCAGAACTACAACAACTATGACCCCTATGTAGGTGTGACCCCTACTTCGACAGATCTAAGGTTCAAGACCCAACAACTACTCAGACCTACGACAGTCAACTTTCAACTACTAACACACAGGTCACAGGTTCAAGACTCACAGGGTCGACTTGATACTGTACACAGGKAAGGTAAGGTAAGGTGAGGTCTGGGGATCGAGCCCTGGGATCCGCATCTGTGTCTACAAAAAGGTGAAAACCGTTTCACTCCCACCGGCCTAAATTTGAGGTCCTCCGAGAATATTCCTGGTCAAGGGTGGACCTTTATCTTTCTTATCTCTCTCATAGGCGCGAACTACCTCGGGAGCAGTCTCAAGCAGTTTTGTTCGGGTAAACCAGTGGTCGTCCTCTGGTTCCTGAAAAGCGAACCTGACCTTATATTGTTTTTGTGGACGACCCCTATGTCCTGTTCTGAAGACATCTTCGCCTACGATGCCGTCAATGTCGTACCTTCCATCCATGTCCGGAAGGGTCATGGACCTCTGTGATGGAAACTGTTGACTTGTGGTACAAGGCAGCAACTTTGACGCATGAAACACCGGGTAGGTGTGGAGGTGCGCAATCTCGACTGTGTAGGATGGTCCATCCTCTCCGCCTTTGACTTCTAAGACTGGCCACGGTCCTCGGTATGTAGTCAGTAACTTTTGTGAGATGTTCTCCTTAGGAGCAAACTCTTTAGACTTGACCCAGACTAAGTCGCCTACTTGAAACTATGACAGGCGACGATGCTTATTGGCTTGCTCTATCATTCTATGCTGGGCCTTCCCGAGGTTCTTTGTGACGGTAGCAATCATCTTCTCGCAGTGTAGTGCAAACTCCCTACTACCAGGTGGTAGTCTTTGGATTTGATCCCAGTTCAGTCCCTCAAACGGTCTGCACGGTGTCGGAGGGCGCGGTGTCCCGACCCTCCACCGTATGTCGAATGCCTGCTCACAGATCTTTGTTGAGCTCCAAGTACCTGCTCACGCATCTCCATTGAGTACTAGATGTCTAATCGAGGAACCCCCCGTGGTGCAGCATACTCTCGGTCTATGGGCTTCTGTGGCGTACGGAGCGGAAACAGCCGAGTGGCTCTCCGCTGAGGGTTGGTTCTGTCAGTGCGTGTCCTGGCAAAGGAGTGGGGTGTGTGACAAGACTTCCATCAGTCCACTTAGGCTTGGCACCCCATTGTACTGTGATCGTTGTCGCCTAGGGACATGACAGTGAAAACGGGGGATGGTCCTTCCAACTGCACGCCGAGTCCCGGTGGCTGGGTCTTGGGGTAGGTGCAGTGACTCTGAGGGCGATAGGAAAAGGAATAAAAGAAATAGAAAGGGGGAAGTGTTTTGTATTGTTGTTTGAATCCGGGCCCCTACTTTAGGATTGCTAGATCTGATGGTCCTTAACGAGCGCGACGCTAGGAATTCTGCAGAGTTGTTTTCCTTTACTATATCTTTAGTTGTAGCAGTCTTCCTCTTTTGGGGCCTTACGAATCCTGCTTCCCCCGCCTAGTCACGTCGCTGGGGGACTACGGTTCATTTTCGAACCTCGACTGCAGGCTGGTAGCCAGATCCCTCGCGTTCGACTCATTGCTGACATGACCGTCTGATCACCGCATCAGTGGGACACCAAAATGGGAGTACCCACGGCTGCATTGGTAGGAGACTCATCACCCCAAGTGAGAGGTCATGAGCCCCCTCCTTGCCATCGGACACGGGTACTCGTTAGTTGTAGCCTAACGACTCCTCTCAGAGGAGAGAGGCTGCTGGTTGGTATCCCATTATGGGACCACCTTTTCAGAGTCGCTAGCATTTCGCGGCAAAACGAAGTGACAGGGACTGATAAGAAGAGGACCTCGTGCACTATGACCGTTGGTCTTTGGTCTCACGTTTCATTTCTCCTTATTTTATTTCTAATTTTATTTCATTTTATTACTTTTGGAATCACAGGCCGCTAATAAGCCGAGTTTTAAAGGCTACCCAAGTTCCCCGTTCAGAGCATGGGGATCGCGGCGAGTAGCGATCCTATAAAAAGAAAGGAAGGTTAGTCTTTCGGCAATTTGGCATGAGCGATATCGCTACGCCGAGTACTGGCGAACTGGGGAGACGGGGCCGGGTGGCGTGGCGAGTGCGGGAGATTGTTGGTGTGCGCGTTGTCGGGACTGGTGAGTCCCGAATGACTTCCCATCACTCGGGAGACTGTATATGGCCGATTTGTGCACGGCAGAGAAAACCGAAGGCAAGAAGGATGGAAGGATCAAGGCATAGGCACAGGGCACTAGGGAGCTAGAGGCTGCCCGAAGTTGCCGGGACCCATGGACTAAGGAGAAATTGATGGAACAGGGGGCAACAGAGGACCGCAAGAAAGTAGCGAAGGCGATCCTTCCTCCGAAACGGAGAAGGACCGCCAGGAATATTGGTAACATAGGATGTACGCCACAAAGAGAGAAAAGATGTGGAAAAGGATAGGACGTAAGGCGCCGGCATGGGAAAAGGTAGCCGAGTCAGGTGGGGGCATTAGGACGCAGTGGCAAAAGGGCCAAGAAGGCCACAGGCTAAGTAGGGACCCGCGTCCGGGGAGGAACGGTGCACGGGACGCGAAAGGAATAAGGGGAGGAGGCCGCCATAAGGTAGGAAAATTACGAGTAATGTCAAGAGAAGATGTGGTACCGGCAGAACAAAGTGTCGGGGACCACGCGAGACCAAGAGAAGACGTGGTACCGGCAGAACAAAGTGTCGGGGACCACGCAAGACCAAGAGAAGACGTGGTACCGGCAGAACGAAGTGTCGGGGACCACGTGAGACCAAGAGAAGACGTGGTACCGACAGGACAAAGTGTCAGGGACCACATGAGACCAGGAGAAGACGTGGTACCGATAGGGCAAAGTGTCGGGGACCACGTAAGACCAAGAGAAGACATGGTACCGGCGGGGCAAAGTGTCGGGGACCACGCGAGACTAAGAGAAGGCGTGGTACCGGCAGAACAAAGTGTCGGGGACCGCACGGGACTAGACAGAAAATGCGGCACCCATGGGACAAGTGTCGGGGACCGCACGGGACTAGACAGAAAATGCGGCACCCATGGGACAAGTGTCGGGGACCGCACGTGACTAGACAGAAAATGCGGCACCTGTGGGACAAGTGCCGAGAACTATAAGAGACTAAGCAAAAATAAATAAATAAATAAATAAATACGGTTCTAACACGGAACAAGTGCTGGGGACTAGTGTCGGGGACGAGTGCCGGGAACTAGTGCGGGACAAGTGGCGCGGAACTGTGGCGTCCCAAGGAAAAATTACGGAAAGATGTGTGGAGTACAAAAAAAAATAAAAAGAGTTGCACCGTCAAGATCGGAGATCTTGACGACAAAAAATATTAGCATCACTAGTGCAAGCACTAGTGGGAGCGAGTGGGAGGGCCAAGAGAAAAACAAAAAGTAAAGAAAACAAGGGCTCGAGGCATGGGAGCAATCCGAAAAATCTCGGATTAGCCTCCCCCAAGAAAATAGGCCCCCGGAAAAAAAATAGGTGCAAGAGGACCCACCGTTTGGGAGAGAGGAGGACTAACGGTGGCTCCCAAGGGCATGGAAGGGCCACAACTGCAGTCCGAAAAATAACGGACTGGCCCTTGGACATAGGTAGGGCCAAAACTAAGAGGGAGAGGTAAGAAAAGGGCCTTAACGGATTGTTGACACTTGACAAGCAAAATAAAAAGAAAAAGAAAAAGAAAATGTGGGAGAATGAGACAAGGAGAGTGAGAGGGAGTGAGTGAGTTGGCCGTTAGTAGGGACTACAATAAGTAGGGACTGCCAAGTCCCAACTGTCAAAGAAAGGAGAAAAAAGAAAAAGAAAAGAAAAGAAAATTGAGAAAAGGGCCTTAACGACTAGTTGACACTTGGCATGCA